GATTACTCAGAAATCGTTGTATATTACGCGATTACGATAGCGTATTAGAATACGATAGGGTTAATTGAATCACTGCAAACGTTTCTTAACGGGTTGTTTAAAAACATTTTAGATTTATCAATGTGTAAAATACACGCGCGATTGCACGATATAACGAAGTACGATATGCTGAACAGGAGATTGTCTCTAAATTCCTTAGATTTATCATTGGCAGACTATCGATAGAATAATCTAGATAGAACATGGAAGAGAAAATATCTACTATCTATACAAAGCTTCGATGGATACTAAATACTTAACAACATAAATTAAGGAATAATTTTATTATCGTAAATAAACCAGATATGTAATGATCTACTAAAACTAAACGAAAAAGTTAATTTTTTCGATGCACTATTTTTCGCAATTAAACCACAGTGCAAGGATAGCTAAGAAATATTTCTGTAAACGATGTTGCTGCCCAGCTTTCCGTCGTCAGTGTACATAGAGCTCCTAGCTGAATATCTCGAAGCGACGCAGCAGTTAGTGGACACGCGTAATAATGGCGGTGGCTTAATTAATACAGTCGCGTGTGGCACTTTCGATGCAAACGCGTGAACTTCGTTAAAACGGAGCTGGTCTGTGGACACCAGTTAAAATAACAAGTATGCAACAAGAAACCGGGCCCAACATATGTATTCGCCGACGTGGAGAAGCGGTCGTTGGTGAAAAAAGGAACATCTGCGAAAGAAGACAGCGACCACGCAGCAGACGAACACGTTCCACGGCCTAGTCACGGGAACGGGCTAACTTTCTGCTAAATTAATTAGAAACCCCCGTGATTACTTCAATTTTCGCTCGTTACCATCCACGCTGTACTGTAAACGATTTCGATTAATCGCGAATTTTAATCGCTGCCTGATAAGCGATAAATAAAATATTTTCTCGGCTAATAAGCTCAAAGTTACGAGCAGATATTCCAACAAAATTCGAATCTAAGAATCATGGATTTTTCTACGCAATCGTTGCTTTGTCACGCTTGACAATTTCGCCCGTAGATACGTATAGACGCGGTTTGATTAATGCCCGATCGCTTTCACCGTGACTCATGATCTTTCTCCGTGATTCACGTTATCTTTCATTCACAACGATTTAATGATTCACGCGAGTGCCATCGGACCAAGCTCCCGATGATCCTCGTCCCAAAGAGAGCGACCGCGATAAGGTATTCCGTTCTCAGACCCTGGATCCTGATTTCGCCTGAATTTTTATTGCATTACCACGAACGATCTACATAACCCGATAACACTCTCTTCCAGAGACCATATAGTAACCAGAATTTCCTCCAAAGTTGCTTCCAAAAGCCAAATAATACCCAGAGTTACTGGTTATTGACATGGTCCCTGCTAACTCAAGCACCTCGATCTCCGCGACAATTAAAGCGACCAAAAGAGAGATAACGACACCCTCGAAAGACCAAGAAACCCTTTCTACCCTCGATAACTACACGTTGTAACGATAAATCTAACCCAACATTGGCTACGATCTTCCAATTATTTTCACGGTAAACCATCTCGAGAGTCTGCGAAAACCACGATCTCCGGTGTAAATAACAGCTGACACGTCTCTGTAGGGATCTTCGATGGATTTTCTTCTTCTTCTTCTTCTTCTTCTTCTTCTTCTTCTTCTTCTTCTTCTTCTTCTTCTTCTTTTTTTCTCCCTTTTCTTTACCTTTCTCCTGGCCGCGAAGCAGCTTAATTTGCGCCGGCAGTCGAAGGGTTAACGCTTCGGGCCAGGAAAATAGAAGGCTTCCGTCGTACGGATGGGTGTTCCAGGAGAGGATGTTGGTACGCACTGCTGGTTACACGTATACCACACGACGGCAGCGGCAAAGCTTATCGATTTGCTCTCACGCTAGCGAGATGGACGAACGAGACCGGAGCGAAATAGAAGCAACTTCCGCATTCTCTGGTGAAGCGACTTTACGAGGCACGGCCGAAAAGCGTGCGCGGAGAGCAACAACGGCACCTTATCGGCGAAAAGGAGATGGCTGAGAAAGTAGGCAGAGAGAAATGGAAAAACGGCAGAGAAAGCTGAAATCTTTTGTCCCCACGTTGAATAAACCGCTTTTATTTGCTTGGCTGGCACATCGGGACGATGGAGCTTTATGAAATGTTTCTGTTTCCTGCCAGTTCCGTTCGCTATGAGGCAAGTAACGCGGTGCTTTACGGATCGAGGGGGAACAAGGGAACAAACGAGGAGACATTACCGTGTCTGCCGATACGATTAATCAAGATACCCTCCTATTCGCTGCGCGAATCTTGGAAAAGTCCGACTGGACACCGTTAACGTACTGATCGTCAAACCGAAATTTGGGAAAGCAGGCTATAATTAGTTTGGATTCTCGCACGAAATTAATCTGGCACGATTGAAATCGTATGGTCGAGAAGCTATCAAATCTAGGCAAAGCCTATCTATCTGCAAGCACAGGAATATTCCGTCAGGATGTTACAGCCAGGAGAGACATCGGTAAAAACATTGGGCGTGAGTGTACACTGTGTTACAAAAATAGAAACAAACGATACAAATTACTGAGCACGACGAAGGCAAGAAAAATTGCAAAAAGGACAATGACAATATGTTCAACCTGTTCCGAACATCCTTCATTATCGTTTGCTTCAAAACTGTGCATTGAAAATACACTTGTTCCTCGAGATATATACCCGGTTTCCGTTATACGCGGGTTTTCACGTTCTTTTGAATCGCCACAACCAAGTGTCTCTGTATTTTCCATCCAGTGTAAATTTAAATCACATCCATACATCGATGCTCCGAACCTACGTGTACTTCAATGAATAACTATATCCGGTACAGTAACTTTCTAGATAACCAAATCAGATAGACAAATCAGATCAGAAATAATCCATCACGACTAATCGTCGTATCATATATAAGTGACGCGACCCCCAGGAAATTTTAGGCGAAAATTACTCAATACCAGGTGACACTCCGGCGTATGGAAGAAATCGTGTGCACGTAAAAAGAGAAAGTAAACGGAATCGGGGAAAGCTGAATGAAGAAATAATTTAAAGGGGGAAAAAGGAGAGGAGATTAATGTTAAAGCTGTAGGGGGGCAACGAGATGCGTCGACGTGCGGTTTCTGACCTATACCAAGCAAGGGTCGCGTGAGTAATTAACGGAAAGCAGGCTGATATCATCGAGATGTGAAACGAGAATGAAAGGAAGATCAAGGTAAATCAAGGTTGAAACTCGCAGGTTTCTTCGTGTTTATAAATCGACAAAATGGCGGAACCGGAAGTGGAAGAGGACATCGTCGCGAACAACTCCGGAAACGTTTCGATAGACGTTGGATAATTGAGAATTCCGTTCATCTGTTCGTATTTATATCCGTACTCGTATTTGCGTTTATATCTGCACGTGTATTTATATTTATTCGTTTACATTCGCATCGATTTATTATGATTCATCGAAACCGAGCAATTATTACCTAACACTGACTCATTTTCCAGGAAATCGTTTCGTTGCACTTTTACAAAGTTTCACCGCCTAGTATGCTCTTGTTCCTCCACTTTTACGACGCAATATCCTTTCAGCGAGGAAATTATACCGTGGCCAATTTTCATCGGAGCATACACACGATTACGTGCAATTACATAAATCAGTCATCGAGTTTAGAATTCTGAACATCGGTCCGAGGCCACTTCCCGTGACAATACTGAAATAAGAAATCAGTCGAGTAGCCAGAAAACTGTGGATTTTAAGGCACGCGTATCTCGAATTAGATAGCTGAAATTACGTACCTGCGATTTATAGATAAATACGATATACACGGATAATAATAATTAACGGGGTATATATAATCATATTTCCAGATAAATAAAAATCAACGGTAAATATCGTAAGACGTGGCTGCATGTGAAATCATTGCAAAAATAAAATATCCGAAACCAGTCGCGTAGACTGGTTTGGTAATTCTGATGTTAATATCTTCTATGATCATAAACAAATACAACTTTCATTAAAAAGAGAAAACTTCGCACTTCTTGTATACCTGCCATCTCAACAAATTCGTCGCTATTATACAAGCCGAAGCTTGGAAGAAAAGAAAGCAGAACCACGTGCATAATTTCGACAAATAATATAACTCGATAGTCTAGTTATGTATTTGCAACGGGTAAAATAAGTATCGGCACAATATGTTACAAGGAAATTCACCTAGCCAGAAGATTCCGATTTGAAGTTTTCAATTCGGATGAAGATCTACGAGTACGTATATCACAACAGATTATACGTGCAACAATCTTTCTTTAAATATCACTTCGCAACAGTACGAAATGCGACAAAACGTTTTACACGAATAACGTTTAATTTTTAAATGCACGGAGTATGAGGAAATACTGAAAGTTTGAAGATTTATTTGGCTCTCCTAAAAGGTTTCCTATCCATGAAAAAATTGCTGCATATAGAACTCGTTATTCTCTACACGTACACAAACTTGAATTATCCAATTTGCATCATTAGCATATAGATATAGATGCATTCACACTGTGAGTGAATAGCGATATACGCGAAGAGAGTAATTTTTAATTTCCTTCTTCCTTTATTAAAGAGCCTGGATTCTTTCACCGAAGTAATCGGCACGTAACTAAAATATCACGTTTCTGATATCTTTTCAGACATTGGTAAATCTATTTTAACCAAAACAACTGGCGATTAATTCGTATGACGCAAATGGATTAAATCGAAAGTTACTGTAATGAAACGTGCTAATACTTCTTTTACACACTGTATATACCACGTTGCATAGACCCCGTGTCACAAACGTTAAGGCGTTTGTATCGTCGTAAAACAAGGTACATAAGAAGTATACGAAGAAAGTACCAGGACTAATCTTGCTCTTTGATCGTACCACGGTAAATTCTATTCTCCCTCTCGTTTAATCACGCGACGTGAATAAAATTATGGAATAATTACAAGGATCGAAGAATTTGTTTACTCACTTTTGCCGTCTGAGGCTCGATGTCGGTAAGTCTTTGCGCACGAGGCCTCTCTTGCGCCGGTCCTGGCATCCTTTGCAGCCTCTCCGTTGACGAAGACGAGGAGGACGAGGATCCAGGCCTCTGGCCTGGTTTGCCACGCGCCAGGATGACGGCAGGATTTTACTTTCCTCTCGATTGAACCATTATTCCTCTTTCACGTTCTTCTGCGCAAACAATTTCCACCATGCTCAGACGTCTTTATCGCCATGCGCTTATTATAACGGGCGAAATATTAACTCGCGTATATTATCGCGCCCAACAGCCGCGGACGCTCGTAAATTTCACCTGAATCAACCTATATCAGTCGTTCTATAAACGCCGAGGAACTCGTCCAATGTTCCTCCGATTTTTTCAATTTTCAAATTCGGCGTATAAATTTTTCATTGCAAAATTTGTTCATAATTAATAATAAGCTTGGAAATAAATCTCGATGGTTATTGACTCGATTAATCTTCTCTTGCGTATCGAAACGCGAAGGAAGATTTATTTATAATTCAAAGTTGCCGCGAATATTTCGAATTTCTCGGCGAAGTAATTTCTCGTTGAAACTCGGCGAAACTTCGTCGATATTTTAGTAAACGAGATACACGTCGGTTATTAGAGATATATGTAAGTCCTAGCAATTTAGAGACGAGACTTGTGTCCCAGTTGAGACGAGTAATGAATTAAACAGACCCACTGTAAGTGCCATTTGAAACATTGGGCATCGTGCAGAGTACCAAGTCGATTTGAATACGAGCGCATCTAATTGCTTCGACCAATATACCAGTGTTTGCAACTAGATAGTTTGCTTAAACTCTGCTCGATTCTAGTTAAAATTCGCATTCGATAAAAGGACTGCGATCAAATATTTTACGTACCACAACTGATTTAATAATACACCATTTCTATGTACAAAATCGTGTGTCGATATCTTCACGTTCAGTCATATTTGGTACTTCAAAATTCGCGCCAAATTCGCGGTTCCAAAAATTAAAAGAAAAAGGATAAAAATGAGACAAAAAGAAAAGATAAGGGGAACAATAATGTAATAACACGCGATTCCTACGTATAAAATCGTGCTTCATCACTTTCACGCCCAGTCGTATCTATATGTTGTCTTCTCAAAATGCGCGCCAAATTCAAATCACTAACGGTGGGAAAAGAGGAAAGAGGAAACGGAATAAAAGAAAGGAAGGAAGAAAAAAGGGAAAAAACGAACACGATCGAGACATTCGGAATGAATAATTGGAAAAGTGAAAATAAGTGGTCGCAATTAATATTTATGGGTAGCCCAGTGACGAACTTATCCGCGAATCGGGAACACGAGGCGGATGAAAGTTTCGCAAACGCACGAGCGCGAGTAAAGCGCAATGTTTACCGCGTCGAAGGCGGTCAGGTGAATTTGCTGTTTTAAATCTGACGGCCTTGCCGCGGCCTACGACTGCACGTAGGTATAACGATCGTCTTGAACTTTAATCAAGCGAAAGTGCTATTCTGATCGACGCGTTGATCGGTCTAATCGATTATTCCTTGCGCCCAACTCTTTCCTTCTTTTTGTTCCCCTCCCCCTTTATTTTCCTTATTTTTCTCATTTTTATTACACTCGTCCGAAATAGTCTCGAAGTATTAGAGTATAGCTATTGAAAAAATCGAAAGGTGAAACGAGATATTATTTAATTCGAATACTAATTGCTTTTCGGGAAATAAAAATAAAAAGTGTCACACGTATAGGAATTACCGGGGTAGGATGATACATTGAATTATAAGTTACGCGACGTGCAAATTAAATATAGAAAAGGAGAAAAATGATTGCTCGCTAACGTGCTAGATGTTAATATAAAGAAAATGTTTGGAGAATCAGAGGGATCTCTCTTCGATGTCGTGATAAGAGTAACAGGAATACGAGACGGTATCCGCGGTAACGTGCAATTAAGCTATCTACAGGAAGTGTTATGCGATTAACATTAATCTCTATAGTTACTAACTTTCCAAACTAATTAAGAGAACGACTCGAAAGTAAAATGTTGGCACGATGAAAAATCGAATCTATCAATTACGTTTATTTCGATTCCTCGTCGATCTCTTACACCTACGTAATTTTTAATTAAAATCATCTATGAAAAATACAAAAATAAACAAAAAAATTTTTTTCTACAGAAAATAGAGCATTCATAAAGCAAACACGATCGACGTATCTACTGTTCACCGATATTTTTCGTTCAATGGCTAATTAACAGACGCTTTTTCACAGTCTAACGTTTCTCGTGCTAAAGATAACATCCGGTTGCACGTTCACGAGTAAAACTGACGGTTGTTTTCTTTGCATCTTTCTTTTTTTTTTTATTTTCGTTGTTTTATACTTCGACTCGGAACGTGCAGCAGCAGCACGGTCGAGAAACGACGAAAATAAAAGTGTAACAAAGTCACAAGTAAAAAGTCCATGCCACATCCGCTATCGTATGGTCTTAAATATTCGCGGGCGCGGGATTTAGATCCAGTCAATTAAAATGGCGCTTAGAAAAGAAATGTCGTCGCACGGACGACACTGAACGATTTCTCGTATCGTATTGTCGCGATACTCCGAGTAAAATTTATGTACAGTGTAAGGTACAGGAAAGTTTCGCACGTTCCTTTAATGGTAAATTCGATCGATAAATTCGAATCCATACAAGTTAATTCGATCCACGTGTGTTTGGGCTTCGGTGTCGTGTGAGTCAAAACTGGCAAATGTCCACCATCTATTATCTTTATTATGAAAATGCAATGAAAATAAAAAAGAAAAAGGAAAAGAAGAATCTTGGAGAAAAAATTATTTTTTATTGCAGATATTATTATTTTATCTTAATTTGGAGAATATTAAGCTTTCGAAAATTCAATAATAGCATGCAATCGTACTAAATGTATCATACGTTAAACAAACTTTAAAATGACTAGAGCAACCTTAATGCCAGTTCATATGGCTACAACGGTTAAGGCGATATCGTTGCCGAGGCGAATAATCCGAGCGCGAGCAAGAGCTAAGCCAATCGAACTAAATAATTTCACAAAGTCGTTGACATGTCGCTTGATAAAGCTTAACGAGCTTGATAGAGACGAGTCAAGGTGAGGTTTTTCAATAGGGAGAAGATTACGCCGTTCCGATAACTTTACTATGCCAAGGTTACTATCTTCGGCGCGTGTTGCAGCTGGAATGCGAATGTTGGTGTACTCGAACCTTTTTCTTTCACGAATTCTCCCGCCTTCTGCGTATTGTTATTCTCGCCGTGATGTTCCAGCACGCGCAACCACATCCATTGCTTAATTACAAGCCGCACGGATTGTTCTTCTTCTATTCCGGTTGTGCAACGTACATACAATGAGAACTTAATTAAGCATCGTGCACACGAGAAGCCCTTATCGCGTTACATGCACTTCAATTCCTACATAGTAACTAAATTCTCATTTTTACGTTCGTGCGCGCCGACTCGCTATCATTTACACTTTGTCAACACGCTTTCTTCCTTGCTCCGGCTTTTGATCGAAATCTGCAGTGAAAACCTGTGACGGTTTCTACAGCGTTGTGTTTGTGGAAATACTTCCGTGAATATTTTGTGGTTTAATGCGTTCAGCGAATAAGAAAATATAAAATTACGATTTTTCGTTAAATGCGCATGACAAACGAAGAGATATACGTATATATCTTATTCCGGTTACATAAAATTTATTATTAAAATCTGTCGGAATTCAATAGTACCGTAAATATAACAAGTGCAATTATAGGTTAAACGTAAACGAAATACCGGCCATTAAGTAAAAATGTAAAGATATTAATTTCTATTACGTTTCTCTGCAAACTTTTTGTTGTGCCCTTACCGAAAGTACTTGGAACAAACAAAGTCTACGAGAATGATATTCGTAAATTTTGAGGTTATAATGCGCGCTGAAATATTCGGAAAGCTTTTCGAGAATTCGTTCCATGCGGTACCGTGCAACACACGGTTAAGTGCAATGAACTTTGCGTACGAAATTGCATCGCGGTAATAGGCCAAATAAATAAGGTACGAAACGTATTTACATCGTATAATCGTTCGATAGTGTAGCACGAGAAATATCGAATATGCAGGAAACGAGAAGTGCACAAACAGCTGGAATATCGACTCTCACCTGAAACCACGAACGAGGGGAAGTAACGGCGGTTATGTCAGGGGAACGACAATACCGATAATTCTCTGCTGGCACATCGTAGACTAGGAAAGCCCTTTTACATCCTCCGCCATTTACTGCACCGTTACACGCACACGCACATACACGTTGAACGAGAGAAAGAGAAACACACAAAGGCACTCGATATTTTATTGCAAACGATCGAGAATTAAAACGTACTTACATGGACTAGGTGTATACTCCAAAAAATCATGCGAAAAGGAGAACGGTCATTTTGATTCGTTTCGCGCGCTGATCGTACGCGAGTGCAAATAAGGCCACGTAAGGGGCACCGAAACGGCACTTGCATACTAACAAGAGGGAAGCTCCTCTTCCCTTACCGTGTGTATATTAATATATGTTAAGCCGCGTGTATACGCGTATTACAATAGATGTATGCGTTACGTACTTGCATGAATATTACCACTCCCGAAGTTGAGGATCCCTGCCTGGCGAAACAGAGACAGGGACAAGGAACAAGAGAGAAAGAGGTAGGTTCACCACGAAGAAAAACACACGTCTGCCGGAACGCGAGCCATGTTTGTCCCTGGCTAATTCACCGCGAGACTTGTAAACCAATACGGAGATCCTGTTGACAGTTCTGCTGTGGCATCGCCTTCGTTCTTATCTACAGACTTCACTACGTTCGCGACGAAGTTAACCTTCATTTACGAGCTATAACAAAATGCTGTTTCCGTTCTCTACTGTCAGTCCGACCTGCCTAACCTGACCCTCGCGTCTTGACTGGGAGAAGAGTGAATACTACGCTTGTTATGCGCAACTACACTTGCGCAGGATTCTGTCGGTTATACTAACCTCTGGCGGGAATAATTGAATCTGAATAAAACTAACTTTAGCTTTTTCATTAATGTACTCAATACGATATTGTATTAAATAGAAAAATCTATGTAACATCCTATTAAATACATATTATGGTACATCAATTTTGCAATTATGAAAAAAAAGCTTATTACACATAAAAAGATTTGTTCGTTTTAATATTCGTTAAACTATCAAATATCTAATTATTGTTAGGAAAAATATAATTTTCACAGATCAGTGGTATTAATTTAGTCATAAGCACGGATTCTGCTGTGTGCGAATTTTCCACATTTAACACAGAGAAACAATTTTCCTTGAATTGAACACTCAAACTCTGTCTAAGTACATTTGTCAGAGCTCTAGCGAGTACTTGACACGATTTATAATCATTGTCAAGTGCAATGTAATTATTATATAACATGTTTTGATTGATATGAAATGTGAACTTTATATGGGAACTTGATTGTTTCAATGAAATTATTTCGTTCAATATAACATTCGTGAAGTATTCTCTGTCAGAAAAAATCAATTTGTTCTGTAACATAGAAAGAAAAATATTCATATAAATAGACATTCAATGATTTTAGAATTAATAATTATATCATAAAATAAATTGTTATCTTTTATAAGCCTTAGGTACCTTTAACGAGAAAGATAAGTAGTTCCTCTGATAGAAGAAATTGATAAGATTTGTATCGTTTGTACTTGTCATCAACGATAAACGATTTCGCACGCAATACAAATCTAGTACTTCGCGACAGTTGCTATATTCTGTTTGATTGTATACAGTGGCGATTAGTGAGTTTTTCGAAAAAGTGTTTGTAGTTATCAAATCCCAAAATATTTTGTACGAAAACAACAACACATTATTTGTAGATTGTCCATAATTTGTGATCTGTATCGTGTAATACATCGTGTCAGTTTTTAGTAAAGTGACATCTATGTTATTGTACTTCACTTTCTTAAATGAAGTTATCGAGCTCCATTCCTCGAAATATCGTAATATCTGTTTTTTATGAAACAAAATAAGGTGAATGAAAAATCAAACAAATTTAAAAAAAAAAGTAAAAATTATATTATTTTCAAATAACTCGAAATCCAGTTACGAAATGAGTGAACGTTATCGTAACTACGAACTTATTCTACAAACAGCTATCCTAATACGTTGAAGACGATAAAACGTACTTTTTTAACGATATGTACGAGTATATCTGTATTCCATGAATTCACATCCATAACCACAGGTAAACTGATTTGAAACTACCGGTACTGTGGGATCCTGACCTCTAGGTACAGAATATAATACTCAAAGCTTCTGCCCTACCGATAAAGGAATCTTCACCGCGTGGAAATCAACAGTGAAACCCGAAGATGGTGTGGTGTCGGTATATGAATTCTTTATGTTGCACCACAGTGTACGTGCCTTAACGGAAGTAAAAAAATCCATGTTTAAAAGGTGACAATAAATTCCTACGTTGTGATCGACTACGTTTGGTCGTCTCCGAACTATAACCGGGCAAAACTAGTGCCGTGTAATATTTTTTTGTGACGAATTGTGAACAGAAGCATATCGAATGACAGAACACGGAGGAATAGACGAACCTAACCTCAATGAGGAGCGTGCTACTCCACCACGAAAGATTCGTCATCGGTAAGTTTTTAAATTTCCGTTTCCATATCAGTTATGACCTTTTTCATTGAAAATTATTCAAAGATAACGCGAAAAATTTCCATGTACAGTAGTGTTAAAGTTGTATTCAGTATACATCGGTTGGTGACGCGTGTTCCTTGGATACACCACACGCTTCGTATGAGCCAATCAAAATACAGTATACGTCGCCTGACTCGTCAATCAACCAATCAGGACAGTCTGTCAATTTTTTGATTGCCTTGTGTGAAAATCCATAGAGTTTGTTGCCGCTGAATATATGTAATTATAATACAAAATGAAAAAGTCTCATTCGATTATTATTTGACATACATATTATATTCTACAAATCGCGAAGCTAATACGTTTATTAAATAAAGGGCATATACTTCCGAGGGTTTACGTAGTGCTTCGCAAAGATAAAATACGCTAATAGCTGACACGAATTCACCGATGACAAATCAATTTATTTATAAACTAATCTTCTTATAACTGTATTTAATTATAGTCGGCAATTTTTTGTCTTTTTCTTCCTTCATAGATATAATGTTTGTTAATGTTATCGAGTGTCATTGAATTTATCTTTCTTTCGTAATTTTCGAGAAATAATATCCATTAGTATCGAACCGTTCAGTAAAAAAGCAATTTATATAAATTGTTTCTTTTGCAATCGACACTTTTCAGACGACAAAAAAATTAAATTAAGAAGGAACAAAAATACAATGAAGCATTCGAAGATTCGTGGATCTAAAACAAGCACCTGTGACATTGTACTAGAAAAAATGTTTGTTCGGTATATCAGCGCGCGAATTTGATGCGTGTGTCAATCGGTAATACGTGCGTTGTCGATTATGCAATAAATGATATTGCAGTTATCAATGAACGACATTATACAAATCATGCGATTTCATGAAATTCTATATTCACGTGATTGATGACCCTGATAGTCAGTCTCTTTGTTACATCATTAAATTCGATATCAAATATCTTTCTATGATTATTATTAATTCTATTTCAAACTTTTTATAAACTAACGATAAATCATATTTAAATTCCGTTTCAAAGAATTTAATTAACCCAATGATCAATCGCCAGAAATGTTAAGAAAACATCAGTTATTTTTAAGAAGATAGGTCGATTTGTAAATTTTAAAATATACACACGCTAACGGGAGGACCCCCGGTGGTTGTTTGCGGAAACTGGCCTGGAGATTACATCGAATACGTTCACAATAATTGTCAATTACCTTCACGCACATGTTTATAATTCTATCTAGGTCAAAAGTCAAATTACAATTATCAATATCACAAGACAATCGGATGGACCGTATATTTTAATAAAATTTCGAAACGGTCAAAGGTCCCCCACCCTCTCTCCAAAATAACCGATAGCACTAATAAAAAGAATTCTCATATCTGCGTTATCAATGACAACTTGCTTCCTCTAATAGTGCGTATACGCTATTAAAACACGTTGCTGTCAAATGTATAATCTTACAGTCTTGAATGCATGGATAAAATTAGTAACGTAGATTTAATTATCCATTGCACTTAACGATTGCATTTCGTCATTTCCTCGCGCCTTTTTTGCAATTCAAGGACTGCGGAGAATGAAATAACCTAACCGACGAACATTCGATATGCAGTACTCTTGCTTCAATACATCTTCGATATATCTTCGATACATGATTCGATACATCATTCGATATATCGTTCGATACATTGCGTTCGATATCTCGGGGGATACGTTGTAAGTAAAAGAATTCGATGGAAATAAAAGATTAACGAAATTTTGATACTTTTTTTTTTCGACATATCGCTCTGTTTGTTTTGTATAAAACAGACGAATCGTAGCATGTGACCGTGAGGAATTCCATTTTAAACGACACAAAGGTAATAGAAAAACAATGAGAAAAGGGAAACCTGATAGAATAGCAGTGCACGTGACAATGGTAAAAATCTATTTACGTTTGAACCATTAACACGATGAGGTTTGTTAGATATGCGGTTTGTGTGTTATTGATAACCAGACAACCACGTTCTCGGTTAGTTTTCGATTCGTGACACAATATCACACGATCCTTCGTAAAAGTCACGAATCGAACACGCGGTACTCGCGGTCAAGAGCGAAGTCTCCGTCAGACACGATTATCACGAAGGCATTTCTCGTTTCAGCTGATAAACGGACAGCTTCTTTGCGATCGTTAGCAATAACGATATAATGAATAACGTACAGATTTGTCGTCCTGAATCTCGAATTAGCGAATAGAAGGCGAAGAAATCAATCTCTGAAAACAAAGTACAAGTGGAATATCTTCGAAGTGAGATCAACGAGTTCGTAATATATACGTATATATACGCATGCAATATCGATCGACGAGAGAGATGAGATCGATATATGAACGTACGCAACGCGGAAATCGTTTGTTTCGAAGTGTAAGATGAAATCTTAAAATTTGTAACGAGAATGTTTTCGATTAGAAAAAAGCCGAACATTATCAGTCATTCGATTATAAATAATTTTACGAGGATTTACCGCGAGTTATCGTAGATATCGAGAGATTATTTCGAAGGTACTTGTTACCAAGGTGAATTTCGTATTGGAAATCGGTTATCGTGACAGTTTCTCGCAGAGTAGTCACAGAGATCATCTTATATACGTATATACGTATATATATGTAATGTAAAATAATACTTCGTGTGATACGTGTTACATAACGTTACATGCAGTATACACATTTACCGTACGATGGGTAGTGTGTGTGTGTTGGCCTATACTTACACGCTTGGACGTCACCAGAACGTGTGAATAACGATACACTTGCGTCCTTCCTCTTCGTGGTAATATCCACATCGGTTCCTCTACGTCGCACGACGAGAGACCAATATGTTTATGACGATTGGAATTTATTAACATGGCCACGAGGCATCACTCGAAAACAACAAGATAGTAGAACGAATTTTATTGAACGAAAAAACGTACAGGATTCCGGTTACTCTCAACACTATTTTAAATTCGAAGTTGATTTAAATGTCATAGGAAAAAAAGTAAGATAAAAATTATATCGACGGAGGTACGAAAACACGAAAATCGTTTTGAAACAAAATCGAAAAAATATCGAACGTCTGAGAGGGGATTATTTACCTTCGTCAAAACAGAAATTAAGGAAAAGAAAAAATAGAGGAATAAAAGAAAAAAATGGAGAATCGATGGAAATAAAAAGATAACATCGAAAGCCACAAAAGATACAAAATACCAGCTCTGATCAGAAACAAAGTAATAATAACAGTTCGATAACAAAGGCGTATCAAGATCATCGCTACCTAGATGGATTCCTTACCAGTCGAAGCGTACTACTCGAAGAATACTTCTATATTGACAAGGACGAGAATGGTAGTATATACGAGTATTCGAGGTCAAGACGAATCGGAAG